CTAGGTGCCAGAGGGAAGCTGGTGTTGGCAGCCGGGGAAGGGAGCCCTACTCTTGCACGAATTTCTTGCATCCGACCTCTTGTGTTATTATAGATGCAAAAGGACAGATGGGTTCAGTTAAGGTAAAGATTTACCTTGTCATCAGTGAAGATACAGGCCTAGGATGGAACTACCCACCATAACTGCTTTTAGTTAAAGTTTAATTTCAGACCATCCTGTCTGGGTACTTTAGGTCTCTGACTTTGCAAGACCGCCATTGAGGCCTTCCCTGAGCTTGTCAGGTTAGCATGTGGCCACTGTGGCCCACACATGATCAGGCAGCATCCCATCTAGTAAATGGAATCTCACAGAAGCTGTTCAAAATGGAAGGCGTTTACAATAGGCAGAAAGGAAGTGGCTTTGAGAGGTTATTAGCAAAAGAAAAGAAAGGATTGCTTCAGGCAGGTTCACCTTTCCTTAGGGGAAGGAATAGCAAGAGTCCTTTAGACAGATTAGTGTTGAACAGCAAGTTGCAGAGTGACTGGGTTAAAATTTTATTCCTGGGAGGAATTGGAACTTCAGTTACATACAGTCATGTACCCCTGAACCTGGGGAGGACATCCTGAGGCAATTTTGTTGTTTTCAGTTCTCTTACACAAATCTGCATGGTGTAGCCTGAGAAATCAGACAGAGGCCAAAAACCAGGCCTACAGGCTTTATTAGAAGGAAGCACCTGCAGGGCTGTCTGGCAAGGGGAGAACAGCAGCATGTGCAGAGGTGGGCACGCCTTTTGAAGGGCGAAATGGGAAGGGGTGGGGTTTAGTGTACTTGGCGCACACTTATTGGTAGCTTACTATATGGTCCATATAGGAACAAGGGCTTAGGGTATTTGGCAGGTGTGGATTGGTGGTCCAATGTATAGCCAATGTAAGGTACATCGTTAGACACTCTGGTATTTCCGGGCTGCAGGTTACATCGTACTCTGCCCACCATTTGGGGGAAGGAAGGATCTATCAGCCTACTACACACCTAGGTTATGTGGTATGGCCTGTGCATCCTTGACAACAGACCTGTACAACATGCTACTGTTCTGAATACTGTAAGCAATTGTAATGCAATGGTAGTTAGCATTTATCAGAAGGTGCAGTAAAAATGCGGCGTTCCAGCTGAAACCGGTTTGGCTCAATGGATAGAGTGTTGGCCTGCGGCCTGAAAGGGCCCAGGTTCGAGT